ACAAGCAGCAGGATGTTCGGCATCCAACAACAAAACAGCCTCCAATCGATATCACTTATGGTGGGCACAGCAGACAGCAGAGAAGGAAATTATTTGTGGTCTTAACTCCGGTGTTACACCCCTTGTCCTCAGAGTCATGGGGTATAACTTCTATACTGCCCAGATGACACTGTAGCGTTCTAGGCAAACTTCGCTGTGGTACACTTCCATTGGAAATAGAACGTGGTAGATTTTCTAGTCCTGCGACGCCACTTGCAGACAGGCTTTGTCGTCACTGTAGTAGTCAGGCTGTCGAAGACGAAGTCCATTTCTTAGTTAACTGTCCGTATGATGCTGATCTTCGGTATGATTTTTTTAGAAAATCTAGTAGCTTACACCCTAACCTTGCTCAGTTACCAAACACTGAACAAGCTACATTCCTGTTTCAAACAGAAAATATTGTTAAGCCACTGGCCGCTTTAGTAAGCTGTATGTATCGGCGTAAGCTATCATCCCAATAACTTGCTGTGTCTCTTATCGGCCATCTGGCAGTGTGTTTGTATTTTTGTATGCTCTTTTACCGCTACCATTTTGATATGTACATTCAAGTGACACATAAATAAACTATTTTGTCTGTCTGTCTGTGTAACTGGCGTCAAGGCGTCAAAAGCGGGGAACTTGCATCCTAAGCTGTGTTCCGGAGCTGTAACCTGTTTTGTATTCACAGTCTTCAAACCAAGACTAGATTTTTTTAATCAGATAAAGCTGTATCATTGCTACAAGTTTATGAGGCCTTTCAGATCTAGAAGTTGTTTCATTACTCAGTGTGTCTACACGTTATATCAGAATGATTCATGTTTAGACTGAATAAGAGTAAATGCTTTCACAAAAAAAAGACCAGATGTAAGTAATAATAAGAATGACTTTTCTGTTATAACGTAGTCAGTATGACCCTAACATAAACATGAAATAATGGGGCGGTGTGGTAGCCTAATGGTTAAAGCGTTGGCTCGTCACGCCGAAGACCCGGCTTCGAATCCCCACATGGGCACAATGTGTGAAGCCCATTTCTGTTGTCCCCCGCCGTGATGTTGCTGGAATATTGCTAAAAGCGGGGTAAAACCAAACTCAGTCAGTCAGTCATGAAATAATATTTCTCAGAACAGTCCGCTTTGGCAAATGTCTCTTTGAGCACAATCTTGATATGGTTAGAGCATAGACGAACGTTCTGTGGACTAGTTACTGCAGTTTCACAAGGATACCCCACACAGACATGGCATTGTAAACGGGAGCTGACCAGTACGTGTTTCAGTACCCTAATGCTGTATGCCTTAAAGGGTATGACATAACCGCTGATATTCTGTTTTTCGTATACTCGTTTTTCGTATGTCTGGAAATGTTTTAAAGTACTGAAAATAAAAATGACTCCGAACACAAGTGCAATGCGTTTTAGAATTCACACTGCTATGTAGTATTGGGCAGGTATTTATGTGTAGCAAGTTGCCCGACACGTCACATCGGCAATATTTCAGCCATATCCTGATGCGAACACATTCGACAAGGTGAGTGAGTGTGTTTAGTTTTGCTCAGCATTTTTCAAGCTATATGACTGTTGTCTGTAAATAATCTAATCTGGACCAGACAATCCAGCGATCAACATCATGAGCATCGATCTACGCAACTGGCATACAATGACATGTGTCAGTCATGTCAGCGAGCCTGACCACCCGATTCCGTTAGTCGCCTGTTACAACAAGCTTGGGTTACTGAAGGTCAATTCTAACCCGGATCTTCACGTGGGTTCGACATAAGGAATACATGTATACACATTACAAAGACCATGTGGACACATTAATAAATATTACTAATTACAGAATACATGGAGGTCCAATTGTTGAACTCAGTAACTATGTAAATCGAATCAGATTTCATCTAAACAGTTAACTATTAATAAGCTAAATACATAATACACAATATTAGCATAATCGTACATAACAGAATTAAGAAATGATGACAAATAAGGCAGGCCATGCATTAAGCCAGTGCATTTTTATTGTGATTGCTTTGAGAACATTACCAAGATGGTTAACACGTATATGCAGGTCTTGTCAGCATGTCAAATAACTTGACAGTGACAATAATATAACACAAATATTCATATTTACATGTAGACACCTTGTGTAGACAAGTCAAGTTGATATGTCAGTGAACAGAGTATAAACAAATATGTCAGAGGGTAGTTACAAGGTACAAAAATATGTCAAAGGACCATGGGGCATGGAGTCCATATGGCTGAATATGAACATCAGCACCACCATCAGACACTAAAAAATGAACTTAAATATTTGAAGACGTGTTTTGTAAACAACATGGTCAGCCGAATTCGCCACGTTATACCTCTTTGCATCAAGCGTAACGTTTGGTATATGATTAGTGTGGGTTCGTGAGTTGAGTTTTACGCTGCTTTAAGCAATATTCCAGCAATATCGGGGCGGGGGGGACACAAGAAATGGGCTTTACACATTGTACTCATGTGGGGAATCGAACGAGTGAACGCTTTAACCACTAGGCGACCCCACCGCCCCTGGTATATGATTTCAATTTCTATGTTATATTGACACTTGCACATAATCATCCTAGGTAACCTACATGATGTTTCTATGCAACTGATGAAATGTAGTTTGCATTACTCATGTTCAACTTGCATTAACATGTAATTGTTCTTCGTTTCATTGATCAATTTACGAAACACTGTTGAGAAAGCAAAAGACAAACATACTTCCCTGGTTTGTAAATCCTCAGGTCAAAATACTGCACGGGTTATCATATCAAACGAGACATTCCAATAAATCGTCTGAAACATGTTTATGCACGCGGCAAGGTGATAGAAACACTAATTAAAATACTCGCATAATTACGCTCTTTTACAACATGACGACAAGTACCCAGTTATATCACGGCGTGTCAGTTCAATGTGGAAGGAAAGTGGAAGTTTTGGTGATAACCAGGAGCACGGGTATGGATCTGACACAAAAGCCTGCATGCAGAAGCTCAAACACATTCATTTGACCTTTTTTTGGTCATTACATTACAGCTAAAGAAAAGAAAACACAAACATCAAGAAGCAACGAAACAAAGACTAATGAGAAGCTAATCATCTCACAATGGTGTTTTGTCTGTTTTCTATTACACAAGTTCCACATTTGCTACAATCTACTATAACACGGAATCTTGAGGCTGATGATTACGTTTCAGAGGCGACATGTAGATTGTGTAGATAGTGCTAGGCACTAATAATAATAATAATAATAATAATTGATTTATAGAGCGCCTATTTCCAAAAGATATTGCTCAATGGCGCTATAAAGAGAACAGATTATAGACAATGTCTATGGAAAAAGAGAGTTTGAAAAGATGAGTTTTGAGGGCAGTTTGGAAAGCGTCAGCAGATTCTATTTCTTTTAGGGCGAGTGGTAGAATGTTCCAGAGATAAGGGCTGCAGCAGAGAACGCTCTTGATCCCATGGATGTTTAACGTGAGGCTGTGTAAGCAGTAAGGAGTTTGACGAGCGGAGCAATCGGCTTGGAACATGGACATGAATGAGGCTTTTAAGATATTGAGAAAACATGTTTTCATAGATGCAGCTGTGTGTAAGAAGAAGAAGTTTGTGTTGAATTCTGCTTGATACAGGAAGCCAGTGATGAGTTTTGAGGACAGGTGTCACAATTTGGTAGATTGGTGGACGGGCAACAACACGGGCGGCTGAATTTTGAATCCGTTGAGTTGTGAAAGGAGCTGTTGAGGAATGTTGTAATAGAGGGAGTTGCAGATATCAAGTTTAGAGAGAACAAGGCTGGTCGTTAGAAGCTGGTTGGTGTTGAAGTCTAAGAGGGTTCGGATCTTGCTAATATTGAAGATATGGTAGAAGCATCCGTTGCTGAGTGATTTGATTTATTTTTTTTCTCATGACATTGTTGATTGAACGATGACACCAAGATTTTTTGCATACGGACTGCGGACTGCGTGATAACATCTTGTCCAATTTCAAGAGATAAACTGTCAGGCACTTTGGAAAGTTGATGCGTGGATCCGATGGTCGAGAACTCAGTCTTTGTGTCATTCAATTGCAGAAAGTTCAAGGTCATCCAGCCTCTTATTTCAGCAACACATTGTTGTATCTTCAGTGCACAATCTTCAGCAAGGTTAGGCTCCGCTGCCAGATATAACTAATTGTCAGCATAGAGATGAAATTTCAGTCAGTGCTTTGTCACCAATGGGAAGAATGTACAGACTAAACAGTAAAGGTCCAAGGACAGATCCTTGGGGAACGCCATATTGGAGTGGTGATGCAGTGGAGAGTACAGATTCCACTTTGATGGACTGAGACCTATCAGATAGCTAAGAACGTATCCAGTCAGGGACAATTCCATCAATACCGACTCTGACCTTCAGACGCGGCAGAATGATTTGGTGATCAACAGTATCAGAAGCACTGGAGAGATCCAAAAGAACAAGGAGAGTCACCTGACGCTGGTCCATGGCAGTCATGATGTCATTGTGTACTTGGACTAGCGCGGTCTCTGTACTGTTTTTTTACCTGTACGCTGATCGGTAGGGCTCCATCAAGTCATGTGCTGAAGGTGTTCCACAATTCTGTTTGCAACTATCTTCTCGAGACATTTAGACAGAAAGGACAAATTTGACCCTGTCCTGTAGTTTCTGGAATTGTCTGCATCAAGGGTTGGTTTGTTCAACAGTAGCGTGATCACAGCCTGCTTATAGACACTTGGTACTTCACCCCAACTGATAGAAGAGTTGAAAAATGTCGAATACAGCTGGTAGTAGATGAGAAAACGTGGATTTTGAGGGCCAAGTGGGCAGAACATCAAGAGATGATGTTTTCACTTTTGCTGCAAAAACGACAAGCTTGAAATCAGGACCTGTAAGAGTTCTAAATGTGGTGAGTGGTTGTCTGGTGAAAGGAACCTCAACAAAGACCATGGTGCACAGTTCCTGTCTACTTTGCAAATCACTGCGAATGTCTTCAATTTTCCTGGAGAAGAACGTCACAAACTCCTCTGCTAAGTTCTTCAGATCACTGTGTTCAGGAAGACAACAGTTAGAATTTTGCTGAGGAGGCTACTGAGGAGAGGGTGTAGTTGCTGGGGATTGTTTTACTCTCCCTAATGTTTTTCGAGATGAATGCCTGCTTTGTGGAACGTAATTCACTGTTCACCATATTGCGAGCATTACAATACATTTGACGATGAATTTCTAGTTGTGTTTTCGGCAATCTTTTCAGCGACACGGCGCTTCTTTTTCAAGTCACGGATATTGTCATTATGCCATCCTGTATTTGGGCATATAACAACCACTCTGGATTTCAGAGGTGCATGGCTGTCAAGAATCTGTTCAAGTGTTTCATCAAACTTGAGGACTTTGGCATTCACATCTGTTTCATTAGAAACTCGGTCAGACACTTCCGCGGTGTCAATAGCAAATGCAAAATCATCAATGTTAATGTTTCTAGTCTTTCGATATGAGAGTACCTGTGTGGTGGCATTGGCTCACTTAGATCAAAAATACATTTAATAACAAAGTGATCAGAAATATTCTCATCAGCAACTGTCACACTCTTCACTAATCCACAGTCTTCTTTGGTGAGAACCAAGTACAAGATGTGACCTGATTTATGGGTGACAGGGGAAACATGTTGTTTGACAGTAAAACTGTTCAAGAGATCACAGAACAATTTTGAATTGGAGTCTGAAAGTAAATCAACGTGGACATTGAAATCACCCAGAATTACAAGCTTTCCTGGTTCCACGATAATCCGCTCTAGTGAATCCGAGAATTGTATGCTTGTTTTTCTTTGATGTTGGGGGTCTATGCACAACCAAAAATCTGATTACCTGACTAGTTCCTCAGCAACACACACGCAATTAATGTTGTGTTCCATTTAACTTCGACTCTCAGAAAAAACACTTCAGTGTTGGTGATGAGGATTACTCAGTCCTTGACCTCATTGTGTCAGGAACAGTTCATGCAATTCCATTTGATGTAAACGTTTTGCAATCATAAGGGCTGATTCGTCATGATAGTTTCGTGCCTTGATGTCAAGCCTATTTTGTGATAGAACATACCGCATAATTTCCTTGTTTCCTGTTTTGCAGGCAATGTGAAGGATGTTGTTTCCGTCATTGTCCACATGCAATAAATCAGCACGTCGACTCACAAGTATCCGAATCACTTCATTTTGCTTCCGCTGTGCTGCCCATAACCGTGGCGTTCTTCCACATTGCCCACGGCCGTTGATGTCTACCATACGCGTAGACAGGATATGCTGCACCAAATCTACATGTCCTCCCATGCAAGCCTAGTGTATGATGTTGTTCCCGATATTACCTCGTTGTAATGCATTAGCTCCCTTACTCACAAGCAGTTTAAACACGCTCCTGTGTCCATTAAGTGCTGCGAACATTAAAGGTGTTGCCCCATACTTCCCCAGACAATTGATGTTAAAAACGTTTTGTGAGAGGACATACTCCACTATTTCAACATGTCCTCCATGACACGCTGCATGGAGCACATTGTTACCATCCTTATCTTTGTGTGATATGTCACTTCTATTCCCAACAAGTATGTGAAACATCTCTTTATGTACTTGCTTTGCTGCCAGCATTACTGCTGTCTTTCCATATATATTACTACTGTTAATATCAATCTCTTTCTCAGCGAGGACCTTCTCCGCGATTCCAGTGTGTCCTCCATGACAGGCATAATGAAGGATGGTGTTCCGATCATTATCCATTAACATACAGTCAGGACCATTATCCAACAGATACACAAGTATGGTTGCTCTTGAGCCATGCTGTCCACATCAAGGGGGGTTACTCCGTCGTTCCTCTTGCTGTTGATAAGGTTGGGTTCTTTTGAGAGCACATATTTTACAATGTCTATATGTCCCCTGATACAGGCAATGCTAAGAATGTGGTCACCATCAAGATCCGTTCCTGTCATACATGCTTCATGTGTGTGGAGATATTCAAATACGTCATGGTGACCTGACGTAGCAGCCAACATCAATGGTGTGGATCCATACAAATTACAATTGTTGACGTCTAGTTCACCATCACCCATGAGCTGTTTCACATCATCCAGATTCCCGTCAACAATGGCCTTGTGGAACAAGGAGTCCGTAGCTGACTGTCGATGTGAACCTGTGTTGAAATTCTGATACTGCAATTCTATATATGAATAGCCTATACTTTGATGTTACAAAGGTGAGTACCTCCGAGATTCCGTTAATGCTCCTTCAAACATAACTTCAGATATATCGTTTCGAGAAAACTTAATGTGCTCTAGGCGACCATCACTTTTATATTAGAATTTTAAGAACAACAAAGTTCACCGGAGACTTCACCTTTAGGGGATCCAACTACCTGACTTTCTAACCTCAATATAAAACCTTTTTCTTTTGTGCCTCTATCAATTAATTATCAGCTGTGTTTGATTCGTTCATCTTACCTCCATACATCTTGTCCGGATTCCATGAGTCTTCAGTGTTCACTGAGGAAAATAGTACATACATACAATAAATATGATTTCAGATGTGATATTGTCTTTATTTCTCTAAGGCGTTTTATTATAACTCTCGAACAATAACTTGGTAAATGCAGATTCTAGGCGAACATCACTTTTATATTAGAATTTTAAGAACAACAAAGTTCACTGGAGACTTTACCTTTAGGGGGTGCAACTACCTGACTTTCTAATCTCAATATAAAACCTTTTTCTTTTGTGCCCCTATCAAATAATTATCAGCTGTGTTTGATTCGTATATCTCACCTCTCTGAGTGAGTGAGTTAAAATTTAAAGTCACATCGGCAATATTTCAGCCATATCGTGACTTTTGGAATTCACCGTAAATACATGTAAATTATAACAACCTGTCATCGAAGGACAGTAAAATCGACTAGAACATCACAGTATAAAGAAATGAAACTAGCATCTCTTTCTAAATTTGGATTTTTAAATTAGGACAATACAGTATAAATATGGGCTATAACTCGCCAACAACTGAAGGTAGATCACCATACTAGTGGCCATGAGGACTTACAGTACATTTGCTCCCTGCATGGACCCTAGCTGGATTTATACCATCCCCCTCAGCCGTTAGCAACGTAGACAAATCTAGCCATACAATTAAAAACACATATTCTACGATTAAAAACAGCAGAGAGCTTCAATTTACTTTGAATGTTTGTGGACTTCAGTATCCTCTCAGGAGGCCAATAATTTTTACAGTACTTTAACCCCCCTTGAGGATACAGCCACTAACAATCTGAGTTATTAATTCAAACTTCCAATCATAAGATATTTATCTATTTACAAATCAGTTAACAAATTTAATTCTTTTAAAAATGCAATAAGTAAATGAGAACTTACATTACTAAAAACATGCATCATAGTTCGTGATTTGAAATAGATATCCCTTGTGATGGAATATTCAACACAGTCAAGCAAGACATGCTTGACCGAGGTTCCTTCATCACAAGGGATACAAAACGGAGGATCCTCTCCTTTTAATAGGTACTCATGAGTGTATCTTGTGCGCCCAATACGACATCGTCGTATGATGACCTCTTCAAATCTGGGGGGCGGTGGGGTAGCCTAGTGGTTAAAGCGTTGGCTCGTCACGGCGAAGACCCGGGTTCAAATCCCCACATGGATACAATGCGTGAAGCCCATTTCTGGTGTTCCCCGCCGTGATGTTGCTGGAATATTGCTAAAAGCGGCGTAAAACCAAACTCAGTCAGTCAGTCGGTCTTCAAATCTGGACTGACAACCCAAGTAGGTGTAACCGATAGCTGGTTTTATTGCATGGAATTTATTGATACCTACTTGGGTGTCCCACTTCTTCTGCATCAGATCACAGATATAAGATCTAATAGCAGCTTTGTAATCAGATTATGGGATAAGAAGTGGTGTCACAGATTTCTCTAGTGCTGCCTTAGCAGCAAGATCAGCCATTGTGTTCCCAGAAATGCCAACATGGCTGGGTAACCAACAAAAGACGATGTCGCATTGGCCAGTAGCAAGATCATTATACAATTCAATAATTTCTATTAAGAGTAGATGTTTACAAGAAAGGTTTTTTAATGGCCTGAAGACACGAAAGAGAATCGGAAAAGATTATGTATTGTTTATATTTACGGTGATAATTAATATTTTCAAGAGCTGTTAATATGACATTAGCTTCTGTTGTGAAAATAGAGCTGTTATCAGGCAATCGAGAAGAAATTTTCCTGGATGCAGTGACAGTGGCACAAGCCACTGCGCCACCATCCTTTGACCCATCAGTAAATAAGGATTTGTATGTATTATATTTACTTTTTAATTGATTATATTCTTGTTTATACTGTAATTCATTTGTTTCTGATTTTTTAAATGTTGTTAATGTTAGGTCAACTTGTGGCCTGACCAACTGCCAAGGAGGAGAAGAAAGAAGACGAGAAGGAGCTATATTCTCCAGCTCAGGGTCAGCAGCAGAAATGAATGGTAGAGAATTTTATGGATGTCAACTTCTTCATTATGAGCAACACAACGTTTTCACCTAATGAAGGAGTAAGGATATACTCCAAAACGTTATAATAAAGAAGTTGACATCCTAAAACAACTCTCTCTTCCTCACTCTTGGAATAACACAGGAGGTGAGGTGAAATTGGGCAAACCGTTACACGTACATAAGGACATACTTGCACGTGTGTACTTGGTCTGATCAGAACTACTGCCAGTTTTATAGAACCAGCAAGCGAAAAAGCAGTTTCACAATGACACCCCACACATACATGGGATAGGAACTCGGACAAGTCCGTGTTTCAGTCCCCTAATACCGATTGCCCGACAGGATAACAAGTACCAGTTTTGGGGGGTTTTTTTGGGTATGAAATAGATTTAAGTACTCAAATAAAACGACTCCTAACACAAGTACAATGTATTGCTTTAATGAACCTGTTATGTACTGTTATATGGTAAAAATGCATCCCTAAATCAGTAAGAGAATGACATCAGACTCCTTATGTAGATTTGGAGTTTGGCTCATGATTGATAACGGCTAGACACTGTTGGGAGACAGAAAGTCTAAAGAGAATGGCGTTTAGCCATAAGTTAGATAACAATAACAGATCAATAAATGGGGGAAGTTGCCGGACGATACTTACTGATAATTTCCAGTCATAATATTAATGAGTGCTGGGACATATATAGGATTAACGAATCAAATCGATGTGTTGAAACATGTGATCAAGATCAGGCCAGGCTCGAACCATATAACAATATAGGTTTGGCACTGAGCAGGTGGTGCGCGTGACGGAAGCCAGTCCACGCCACTCACTTGCCCGGTAGGGTACGAGCCTACCCGGTCTGTTGATGAAGTTGTATTTAGAGATGGACTAAGAGTAAAATCTATATGAGTATAGACTTGTTGTTGCGTTAATCTATGAATGTATTTGTGCCAGTACATGAATGCAATGTGTTTCGTTTGGAGTCCAGGTCTTCCGACTCCTCACTCCGGGACTAAGCATTCTGCAACGGAAGAAACGAGTGGAGCTCAAGAGCTCTGACAAAGGTTAGCGGCTACAAGTAGTAAGTAACTGCAGTAGGGTTTACTAACGCCCAAACACCAGTTACGACAACACCAACGAGATACAAACAAGCAGCTATCTACATGTAGCAAGTGACCTGACACGGAACTAATATTCCAAAAACACAATACATGGAGACCCAAATGTAAAACTAATTAAGTATGTGGAAAAATAAGATGCTGTGGAATTTGATTGTGAAACATTGGATAAGCTAAAACATAATACGTTGGGTTTTTTGTTTGTTTGTTTGTTTGTTTGTTTGTTTTATGTCAGTACACCAGGGTTACATGTTTGTACAGTAGCATACTAGTTCATACAGTTCAAACAGTGTAGCTATATTGATGGACAGACATGACCATACACGATCATACAGTACATACAAGGTGGCTGTACTGATGGACAGGGTATAATGTTTGCCTTCATAAAGAACATAATCCTGGGTAGAATGCTGTATTAATACGTAGTCCTGTTATAGTGCTTATCAATACAGAGGAAGAGAACATTCACCAAGCAATAAAAATTACAGGTGTCAGGTAGTGATATATCAATGTCTACGAGAGTTAATACCGTTGTGCCATTACGTGGTACATTCATGGTACTGTATAGGTACAAAGAGAAGATCAGCCGCATTGCAACGAGTATGACATATGACAAATAATGATAACGAAAATATTAAAAAGTTAATACCGTAATGGTTACCTGATGAAATTTCAGTGCTTTTCAAGAGCGGGAGAAAGAGATCACCTTGCAGCAAATATCGTAAGACATATAGTGGCAGTTGGTGTACCAATAATACATTGTTAGTGTAAACCAAATGTATTATGTTTTAGCTTATGAAATGTTTCACTTGTATAAGCCCAGATATTTTAATGATTGGCTAATATTGAATTAGGTGTCCCACTTTCAAACCCCGTATGCATTCTTGTCACTGGCACATACAACTTGCATTTGGACATAGGGCCAGAAATAATAAGGGTTAGTTACTATTATGTTTTTTTTATGCAACTTCATGTAAATATATCTATATCAGATTAATGTTATGTTTAAACATAACTCTCCTCTCTCTCTCTCTCTGTGTCTGTGTGTGCATGCATGTTGGGTGTATGTATATAAGAAATATTATATCTGATGCATGAGTGGTTTTGTTTATCTGGTAGTAATTTGTATTGTTTATTACTGAATTGATAATAGTTTAGATGAAATATTTAGATGTGTAAAAAGATGAGTTTTATATCATGAACAGGTTCATACAAGATGTATCTTGAGTACGAACAACAACACCCCCGTGGGAATCACAGGGTACATATGTTTATATATATTTGTATAGTATAATTAGTTGACTATAACATCATGCATGTCATGCCATATCCGTATTGCATGTGTAACTTCAACGACCGCATTATGTCAAGCTTATATCAAGTAGTGATGTCTGTATCACTTATGATTCTGAAGAAATGTTGCTTTTATATGTCAGATTGTGAGATGCACTGTATTCTTATTATCTCATTCCTTGTTACAGGGTGTCAGTTTGTTATCAGTTTGACGTCACCAGCAAATAAACAGTTCTCACACCCTAGCCTGTGTTATCGTGACTAATTCCACAAGAACACTTTGATGGCTATTACATTTGTGACCACAAGTTTGTTGGCACAGTCACAGGAACTAAGTCACCTGACTTGGCTCTACGGCTTGGTTCCACTCTCAGCTTAGGCTTGATGGCTATAGCATTTCTGGGTGGAGTCTCTGAGAGTGTCATATCTTTTGTAAATTCGGGATTTCACAAACACTTGATTGAGCGGAATTGGGCAAATTATGTCTTGATGGGATTGATTTATCAACAATTAGGATAGTTCAAAGAACTGCAAAACTATGATGAGGCCTTTGACAACCTCACAGCTGGCGTCATTAACTAGATTTGTTATTGTTACCTTGCACTCTTCTTGTAACAGATTGATTGTACATTTGCAGCGGGGTATCAATCATGTGCATACA